TACTAACTGCTGTTGTAGTGCAAGGCTTTTTAAATTAGAGAGACCACAATTTAACCATCTAAATATGCCATACCTCACAATAATTAGATGCTGTGAACTTCCTTAGGGTTTAGGTAACCTTAGGAACTCATGTATGATTTCAAAAGTGAGTTAAGCACTAAATTCACTTAAACATTTTTGACTTGTTTTCTATCATTTAATAATTAACTTAATTAGGAGAAACATTTGTACTAGTTTACAAATGTGGTATTGCCTAAGAAAGTACATGTACAGAGCACCATCTAGTGCAGCATATCACTAAAATAAAAGCTTTTCTGTTTATATGTCACTTGTCTGTGTTTAGCTAATTTAATATGAACTATCATGTTGCAGAAAATGCCGGCCCAGCGGCTCCTGTGGCAATATAATTTTGCAATTACATGGGAGACTATGGATTGAAAATTACTTGGGACCTGTACAAAATTACAAGGATAACAAAGCTGGATGCACTGAAATTCAGGTAATCATTTGTAAGAACCATATACTTTTAAGAGGAGTCTGCTTATCTTCCTGCCCAGTGTTGGGTGATATATTCACTACAATAATTGAATCCAATCTGTTTACCAAAGATTGATTTCAACCAAACTAGGTTGGACACTGATTCTCACAATGGATTTAGAGACCCAACTGCCATTTTAGGTACCTTAAATACCCCATTTAGCTCCTCAGAGCTTTTGCTTAGCTTCTGCAGAACCTGAGAGCTACCCAGGTTCCTTAAGCCAAGCATTCACAGGTATGCAAACCATGACTAATGGGCAAGATTAAAGATCTGACTGTCATTAAGAAGGGAAGAAAAGAAGAAAGGAAGGAAGCTTAGATTCTATAGGAGACAGGTAAAAGAAACTTATACACAGGTATTTAAAAGTTGCTGAGGAAGGGCAGAAAAAAAGTGAGCTACAGGGGCTTTTTTGCGAAAGCTGTATTTTGGTTCTGCAAGCAAACAAACATGAATTTGGCCCCACGGTTGTTTAATCACCATTTGAATGTCAACATTATGTTTCTGATGCAATCTATTTAGCATTAGGGTAGGATTAAGAGGAACTGTCTTAGTTAACTGAAGATGTAGCAATGACCAGCTGGATTTCATCCTGTGCTAAACAAAGGTTAAGATGGCCCTCAGGTTCTTGGAAAAGATAATTTTTGGATGAACACTATGTATTCAACAAAAAACTAATTAAGCATCAAAGAACCACTATCACTGTAAAGTTTTACATTCTCTTTGAACAAGCACTTTAACTAACAGAAAATTATAACTTTTCTCTCTAAGCATATATATTGTGTATGGATTTTGGCTGAACACTTGAAACTTTGCCAATTTCCCAATTCTCAGACATACTCTGAGAAAACAGCAAGCATATGCTCATATTAATTTCAGAGTACCTCCTGGTTTTGAAAAGCTCTGTTTTTTGCTAAGTTGACCTCTTAAGAGACAATTTAAAAAAACCAAGACAGAAATAACTGGAAATTTTTGAAAATTTGGACAGAATACTTCCCTGGATACTTTTTCTGCTCTTTCTACCTCCTTCACAACTGCCAAAGAGAACCTACGACTGAAGAAAAGAAAAAAAAGGATATAAAAAGCTGCATTTTCATTCTTTTTTTATGAAAAGAATCTTTTCTTTCTCTAATAATGAGAAAACTAAAGGAACGTGATAGGAATGTTCACAGGCATGGCAAGCTGTGGTTTTGTTCCCCTTTCTGGGTATACCATTTTGCTAACAGCAAGGAGAAGTAGCTTTGACAGAACAAAATGTTATACTTAGAGAAGGGGTTCAAGAATTGGTGTCAGGAGTAACAGTTTTGGGAATGGTGGGGAGAGGTAGGCTCTAGCTAGGCAGTAGAGCTGAAGAGAAGAGTCTCCACTGGAAAGCAGTAGGCCAGATTGCATTACCTCAGCTCTGTCAGTGCATACTAGACATTCCAGGGAAAACAAACGTTGAGCATATAAGGCTCTTTCACTGTTCATTTAATTCCCCTGGGCTTGTGGTTTCCATTCTTTTAATGTCCAAAATGTTTAGCAAATGGAAGAAAACAGAAATAGACAACTGAAAATATAAAGGTGTTTCCCTTGAACAAATATTACCAAACCAGGCATTTTTGATTACACGTTGCTGGTAGCTATCACTATGTTCTTTATTAAATCATGACTGACAAAACATTTCCTTTGTTATTTCCTTGATTCTTATTCTTCTTCTGTTGGGTTATATGATTTGTATCAAATGGTATGTATTAATTTTAAACTACTTGGGAGTTATTATGTTGTTCTGTCTAATGCCTGAACAAATAAACTGGCCTTTGTTCTGCTATCTTGTAAGAATAAAGACTACGTTAGAACATGTTCATACCTGTTGAGGAAATAATAAATAAATATGAACAGGCCAGGCCAGGCAGTGAAAAGAATTCTCTTCCAAGCTGTAGTCTCTTTTCTAGTAGCTATTTAAACTTGCCTTTTGAAAATAAAGGGTTTGTTTATTTGAGAACAGTTATAGGACCACTTTGAATTACAACACTTTCACATGTTTTTCATGTGGCCAAAAAGATCTGTTACACAAAGAAAGGCCATAGAAAGATGGTGGGAATTAAATACTGTATTTGCATATTTCTAGCAGTATGCTAGATGCTTTTCAGACAGCTAGGATATCAAAGTCCTTGTTCTGAAGAGCAGTCAGTCCAAATAAACATACAAATGCATTGTAAGATGTACAAAGAAAGATTTGATCCTCCTTCATTTTATTATTTCCAATAGAGAAAGGGAGTCAAATTTTACATCAGAGTATGACAAAAGCACCCTAACTCAGCTGAAAGATTTCATTAGTGTTCTCACAAGTAAACAGGTTGGATTTATGCTGCAGCAAACAAAAAAAACCCCTGCAGATTTCATGAGCACGATCTGTACATGTTAAGAGTCTTTTTTGTGTGCTAGAGGTCCAGCTTTGCTGTATTTAAATCCTCCACATCTTTTACTTAAATTATGTGGACTGTTATCTGTCTTGATACTCTCCAAATACATGAGCTAATCATTCCATTTTCCTGTGAGAAACTAAGGGTGTTTTTACAATTTGTACATAATATCATCTATGTTTTTGCAAAGAATTAAATCCTTCTCCTCTTAGAGTAGCAAAAGAATTTGAAAATCATGATGGGAAATACTGTACTTAAAACATCTTCTTAAACTACTCCGAAACTTCCACCATATTATGAATGACCCATACCTATAGACCTGCTCATATTGTTACACAGGAACCCATTTTAAATTCTGTAATAAAATTGGGTAAAAATACATATCAGATGTTCTGTTTTAATGTTGAATGCTGAATATATATATCTGTATATAAGTATATACATATATACATACACACACAGGCTGGTATGCTTTCCTGTCAGATACAGAATTTAATCTGGTTTAACTGATTAAACAAGGTTCTAAATAAGCAGTTGTAGACTGGTCTTCTCATGCAGAGGTACTGGGATGTGCTAAAGGCTAGAAATGTCTAGCAGAGTATCTACTGATACATCAAGAAAAAGACTGGATTATCTAGAATACCTGCTATTGCCACAAAAAACAGAGACCTCAAAAACTCTATACTGCAGGGTTTTTTCAGCACCATTTTTACATGGTAACATTCTTTTTAGCAGCCTGAATCTCATTTTTTTCTCTACTTAATTCCCCCCCTTTTTTTTTGTTTAGGTATAATCTGATTTATCTTATTGAGTGAGATTGTTTCATATGAACATCTCTTTTTTCTCCCAGTTGTTCTACACATCCTCCCTCCCTTATTCCATGCAATTCTTTCACGGATTCTTGCCAAACTTTGGGGTTTGGAGGATGGAAATGGAAGGGAAAATGGCCATGCAGGGAATTATCATGCAGCTGACCTGTATTCATATCAATGTATTTATAAATTGACTGATAGATTGCCAAAAGTTAGTTTCAGTTATGTTAAGCTTAACTGAAACTGGCTGCCAGTTTCAAGAACTGTATTTGGACAGAGGAAGAGAGACTGGCAATCCAGCCACAAAAGCAAAATTATTTTAGGAAAGGTGGAAAATAAAAGTGCCCAAGTTTGGCTCAGATCCATGTGCTTTTTAAAATCTTCATTTGCATCTGCTCAGCAGAAAAGGATTACATTTCATTAGATAGCTTTCTAGAGAGTGCTCCTATCTTCTCCATGGCAGCAAGCACTAATCAGTGATTCTTCTTATTAAAGTCTATTGTGGTGCTAGGCACAAAAGCTAGGGGTGGACAGAGACTCTCTTATGATCTTTCTTGTACGAGAAAAATGTGGATCTGCAGCTTGAAAAAGGGGAAAGCCCAGTGAGCCAAGACAAGGATATAGGAAAAGATAGTAGGCTTAGAAGCAGAACCACCTTGAAGTGACTGAACAGGGCATTCAAATTTGGAGAGTTGTGGAGACTAACAGATACATAAAGAAGGTAAAGATTTATGGAGTCAAGCACTAAGAACTCTAAACCACCAGATTTTAGCTGCACATGCAATACACTTCTCTCTACACATGCACTATGATAGTCTATGTTCAAAGCAGAGCTCACATTGACATTAGTTGCAGCTTTTGTTATTTAGCATTTTGGTAAACTCCAAATGTCAATAGATTAAAGTCCAGGTGTTGCCAAAAAAAGAAAGGCAAAATGGTTAACAACAAGAAGAAAGGCATAATTACTGACCATGTAAAGATGTTAGATAGAAATGATGTGACCAGCTGTAGAAATGCTTCAGCAATAACAGACAATCCACTTCTCTGTGCTGGATTCAATTGATTCTAGCCTTCATCCCTTCTCTTCCTTCGGTTCCCTGCCTCATTCTTTATAATTTTTATGTATGCTATGTACACAACACATGCAACAAATAAATCAGAGGAATTTACAGGCAACTCACTTCTAAAGCCTTGAATCATTCCAAAGAAAGTATGTTCCATCCACTGATTAAACCAGCCTTATGCTTGTATTTAAATACTTTTTGGTTGTAATATGTACAATTAATTTTCATTTTTGAGACAACACAGTGACAATACTGTTTTTCTAAGAAGTGAAAGGATTTGCAGTCACTGCAGAAGCCAAAAATTCTCCACATTGATGAAGATGTCCTTATTCCTAGGTGAACACCTGCCTTTTTAAAAAAATCCTGTGCACATATTAGCACTAGTATTTGTATCTACAGATTCATAGGCCAGCTTGTCTTCTCATTTACATGTCATAAAACTACTGCTTGCAGAGGAATTATTCCACATTTATATATGCATAGATGAGAAGAAAAATCTGGCCATCTGTTTTAATTTGGATTGATTTGCTAAAAGATTAACTAGATAAATCGTCTTAATAAAATACTTAAACAATATTAGGTTGAAAGTCTGCTGGTCTGACCTTCATGACAACAGATTTCAGAGAATACCACCACCCATGCCAAGTGTACCAAACAATCCCGTTGTCTGTCTTCGCAGTATAGGGGCCTTTGTAGTACAAACCGTTCAAGTTGGCAGAGTGACACCTGGTGGAAAAGTAAAGGAAAACAGAAATAAGGCCCCCTGTAGGAAAGTTGCAAGCATTTGTAGTTTCTGTGTGAGTCAAAAATTTTGCCATGTTGGTAACGGCCCAGTTTGACAGCTGCAAAAATTTGCATTTGTGGACTTCAGTGCACCTAAACAATAACAGTTTAGTTAGGGCACAACTGCAAGTGTTCTTAGCTTCTTTGAAACAAAAGTTCTTTTTGTTCTTTCCACATGTTTTCTGACATTACTAGCTCTCTGAGTTTTGCCTGCTAATCTGTTTCCATGGAGAATTATTCCAGAGTTGTTCAGGTCATGTGTGGCAGCAGGGCATACACCAAGCAAAACTCTGGGAAAGAAATACTGTTTTGCTTTTTGTTGCTCCAGAGTAGCCCCTCTTAACTTTTGCAGTTACCCCACATGGTGTTTCATATGACAAAATCTGAATACCACCATCAGTTTGCCTATTCAGCTGTGGACTTCTATTTGCAAATAGATGAAATCTGACAGCTAATTAAACATATGTATACCAATTCACTGGATCCTCCGAGCTGGTGGTTTTTTTGACTGTACAAAGTCCTTTTTTTTTTTATTCTTTAACACACTGAAGCAGAAATGCTGTTACAGTTCATTAAATACAGTGGTTAAAACAAACAAACAAACCCTAGCAAAACCCAAAAGGCTGGAATAGGGACTAGCACAACCTTGATACTCATTTGGTTTCTACAAGAAAGAAGTTTAGATCCTTATGTGACCATATGGAGAGCAAAATGGTTGTTTCTTCTGCAGCACATTGAAATGAATTGGCTTGGTTTATCTGCCAATTCAGTATTTTGTTGTAAGTGCTGTTAATATCTAACTGTCGAACACCATGATGGATTTCAAAAACAGACTTCAGAAAACATGCAAACAGAAAACAGTCCAGATGAACCTTATGGATATTACTACTGGCAAATCTTAGTCTCTTTGCCTTTGCTTACACTTCATTAACAAGTTTTTGATAACTGAAATAAAAACTGTGATAAAAGCCTCATAGGAAAACTCTCATATATTTATGCTTATTTATTGCTTACAATTTTTAAGCTCAATTTTGGTAATGTGTTGGTTGAAAGCGTATAAACTGCAGATATCAAAAGTTATTTGGTTTTGAGAATGACAAACTTCTATCAGAGCTGACATATTTCTAGCCATACAAATTCTGCATTGAGCAGGTACTCTGTCTACTTTGAATCAAAATACAGATTTCAGTAGAAGAATCATGATTGCTAAGAGGTATCTAGATCAACTGAACTGCTTCTTTTACTTCCTTTGATAGAAGAAGGCAAAACATGATTTTTGTCAACAGCAACATGAGCCAGTAACAACTCTTAATTAGTGCTGGGAGGAACTAATAGCAAAAATATACAGTATTCTGTAACCGACTGAAGTAACTGGACATACTAAAGAAACAACTGGCATGTGATTATTGATATGATATTCTGAAGCAACATTCATTATTCACAAGTCAATAAACACCTTAAAGTTAGCCTATGTTCCTCCTTTCTTTCTGATAGGCTAATTTTTAAAGCAAAAAACCTGCACTGCAATAGTTTCAGAAGTACAGTCAACTCTCAATTTTCTGTGGACATTTTATCTGAATTATATATTCACTGTATGACAGATGTGGAGAGATGGAGTTGGTTCCCTAAAGAACTGTTTGAATTCTACCTGGACTTACTGACTCCAGTATGGCCCACATGGATGTAGGTATGCTGTTTCCAGGATGATCAGTCAGGCAGAAAGCCTGAGTGAGTGAGACCTGTGGCTCCAACTTGATGCCTGGCAGATCCACTGCGATCATCCATGCATAGTGTAACTAAAACTGGGAGTGCTGGGGAGAGAATAAGCTCATGTCCAACTAGACTTGTTAGCTCTTCTTTTACCAGTTATGAACCTACTGACCTTTGCAACGCCCTGGATGCAGGAAAGCTTATGACTTCGGTGAGTACCAGAGTGAGCCCAGTTCTGTGGATTTGCATCCAAGCTGAAAAATCTCTTCTAGAGCTTTGCTTACAAAAGAATGCAGAGAGGCCATTTTTCTGCAGAAGTCCAGGATAACAAGTGCTGAGCTGGAGCAAGACCAATGGCTTTAAACTACATCTGAGCTACTTCCATGTAGCCTCACTTGTGTCACATCCCTTGGTATTCATATTATCTGGGTGTTTCTGTATTTCATTAGTCCAGATAGCATAAAGCTGGCTATAAAAAATTCCTTCATAGCTGGGAGCTCCTATAAAAACCAGCCAAGAACACTAATTCCTTCTATGTTTGCTAATCTGTGCATGACAAATACGTGTTCTGAGTGCTTTCCTCTCTCTGCCAGTGCTGTTCTTTTGGGTAGTATTTAAGGATACTGAAATTTTATAGTATTTTGCAGTATTAGGCTTAACATAACAAAAGTCAGTAGCAAGGCAGTTGAACAACACTATTAGTAACTCATTTTCATTATCCAGATAGACTTTCACTTTAAGAGCTTGAGCTACACAGCCATAATAGGAACTAGCCTGGTAGGAGTCAGCTATCTTTAGTAGTTATGTAGCACCAACTACAAGGTATTAATAACTGTCAAGTTCTGCCATACAGCTACTTTTGCAAAGGGGTCATTCTTTTGCCCAGACTAATCCAATGTTTTAACAAAAAAACCCCACGTTTCTAAAAGACAAAAAATGTATGCAGTTATCTAAAAGCGATTGGTGATTCACTTTTAATGACTCCATGGCATGGTATCAGAGTTTTATGCTACTTGAGGTCTAGATATTCCTTTAAATCCATGAAAGTTCTGATTTCACAGGAAAAGGATCTCCAAAACAGTTGCCTTTCTCTTTTATATCTTAGCTTTTGTAAGAACTGCAAAAAAATCTTTTTCTACATGTGATTTTTTCCCATATGTCTCAAACATTACGCTGACCCACTATCCATGCAAATATATTAAAACGTATTAAAATAAGTAATTAATTGTGAAACATTGAGTTAATAGCTACATCACATCAGCTAAGGTGGTCACAGACTACTGATGGAAACAGAATTTGGAAAATGAGGAGTTAAAAAACAGAAACAAAGGGTGACACAACAGAGAGAAACAATGGAGTTGATCCAGCCTGGCAGCTCTTGCCAAGTGAACTGAGATCACAGTGAGAAACTAGTATGCTTCCCTGAGTTGTATTTTAAACCTCTCTATTACACAGCTAGATTGCATAGTTTCTTTTCATGGCTGTATTTATCTAATTAATTAAGGGAAGGAACACAGCTGCCTATACAGACAGTGCTAAGGCTACCAGTTTTATCCTTTCTTTTTGAATTGGTATTTTTTGTGTAAGTAGGATTTTAAAATTCTTTTACTGAACCCTATTAAAAAAATCTTCCCCTCAGTCCAGCCATGCTCACTGACAGAAACTGAGTGGACACTTCCCATCTTGATATAGAAGGAATAACAAGAATGAGATGCTGTGAACTGAGGTGAAAAAAATGAGGCTTAATAACCCAGCACTAGTTTAACTTGTCAGATACTCTGCAGTATTGCCACATCTGGTCTAGTGCAACGCAGGAGAAATGCAAGAATGAAGTACAACATGGATACATCTGCAAACTCTACGTGAACTACTTGTGTAAAAACTGGTTACCTTAAAGGGGCAGAATTATCTTCTCCTTACTGTCTGATAACAAAGATGACAAAGCCTATGGCAAATACCATTATCACAGACCAGCTTGAGCTGTGCAGCAGGTGCTGTCCCTTCTAAGGTGAGTTTCAGTCTTACCAGCACTGAGATCTCTGGTAGGGGTCAAGGGCAGATTGCAAATATAATAAACAATGCCAATCCTATCTTCTACCATAAGTTATTATTGTTTGAATATGCATGAAGCAGAATAGTTGACAGTACTGATATAAAATCAAAATACCTGTTAAACCACCAGCCAGCCTTCTCCTCTTCAGCACAGTTCCCTTCATAATTGTCATTATCCCTGTCTCTAGTACTGAATTTCATTCCTCGATGGTCAGCCCACCATTTTACTTCAGGATGAAATCCGCCAGTAAGGGAATCACCAGCTGTACCAGAGTATTCACCACAACTCATCTTGTATGAATGCTAATGAAAAATGTGAAGAAAGGAAAAAAAAAATCCAAAATGTTTTTAACCTTTAGTATGTCAGAGAGTAAAACCACAAAGAGGAAACTTATCTGTTCCATTTGCTACTATTTTTATGCTCAGAAGTGTCATGCCACTTAATGTATACCAGATAATGAAGGGGTGTAAAGATGCTTACTGGGGGTAAAATTTGTCAATAACCTTATGTAGAAATGATATAATAAAAACAGTATTAGAGTTAGTTTGCAGTACATATTAACAAATCACAACATCATGTAACATTATTGTTGCTAATATCAACAAAAATATAAAAACTGCTTTTATCCATGGCTGCTAAACCAAATGATTCATACAGCTTACAGAAAGTGTGAAAGTGACATATCAATGTAAACCACTATTATTACATTATTTGAAAATCCCAAGCATCTGTAAGAAAGAAAATATGATAATAAGGTTCTATACAAACCTTTATGAAAATTAGGGAACCTGTATTTTTATTAGCTGTCTACAGAATGCACATTTTCATTAAAACCCCTAGTCATTATTTAGTATTTTATTACCTCTTCACCTGCAACTCCGAATCTTTCATATTGTGCAAAACGCCGTTCTCCTTCAAAATCAGTTAGATCAATTCTTAAAGTATAGTTCCCTTAAGAAATAACAACACAAATTATTTTGGTTAAACTAGCCTATCCCACTACTTTTCAGAACAGAGTGTTATAGTAGAAGATTAAAATACTATGATTTTATCATGAATCTTATCTCTATCATCACAGCGTATTTTATGGGGTTTTATCTTCTTTCTTTATGCATATTAAAGCATATCTTGCTATTTATTGTCTTTATTCACCTGATTCATCTTAGAAAATTTTGGAGTTATTCCAATACAGATTTTCAAGTGTAGAGAAAAAATACCTAAAAAAAAATATGGCCTTACAGGGTTTATATTTTAGTAAGGTGTTTGAGGTGGTAATGAAATGATGGTGAGAATCAATCAATAAGCGTACACCTAAGAAAACTAGATTTTTATACTCTGAAGATAAAAGAGTTAAACTAGGACCATGTCCTGGAGGCACTGATTTCCATATGAATTAGCTGGCTAAGTCAATGGGTAAGTTTTGTATATGCAGCATTCTACAGCAAAGCAGAAGTTATCTTAGACTGAGTAACTATTAGAAAGATGGAAATAGCTTTCTAAGACTAGCCTAATCAACAGGACAGGCCTAGATTTACCTTCATGTAATAGCCTATGCAGCCATGTAAAGTCCTGACTAAATGAATTGGTACAGCTTACTACCTGACTCTGGACTGGTAGTGATGCTGACTGTGAAATGGGTAGAGACAGTTCTTTTAAGGTATATTCTTGGCTACTGTTCCCTGTTTTGTTGGGGCTCCCTGCATACCATTGGCCCAATGACAGTTTTGAACCTTTGGTTAGAAAACATATATTCAAATGTGTTTTGTTCTGAAACTTGGAGAAGTCCATGCAAACTAACAACAGAACTCAGGATTTATGCTAACAAAAAGGGTAACAAAAAATGGCCCAGAAAAAGCAAAGAAACAGAAACAATAGAAGACTATTGTTACAATACAAATCTTACCTTGATTAGTCAAATAATGAAGATTTTTATTTCCAAGCCAATATTCACCATTTGTCAAAACAAAATTTCCAAAGCCTTCTTCATAGTCAGTCCAGACTCTGAAAAGAGTATAAATTACTAATTTATCAAAAAAGCAATTTTGCTTGGGTGTTTATTTTATCATACAGTCATAGATCACAGAATAATTCAAATTGGAAGGAACCTCAGGAGGTAATCTAATCCTATGTCCTGCTCAAGGCAGGGTCAGCCATGAGATCAGACCAGGTTGCTCAGGGCTTGTCCAGTGAGGTCTTAAAAAATCCAAGGATGGAGGCTGCACATCCTCTTTGGGCAACCGGCTCACTGTTCTCACAGAGAAAATGTTTGTCTTTATATCCAGTCTGAACCTCTCTTGTTTCAACTTACGTACTTTGTCTCTCATCCTCCCACCAGACACCAGGGTGAAAAGCCTGTTTACTCACACTGCTCTGTTTTCTTAGTAACCTCCTTGTAGGTACAGGCAGGCTACTATTAGGTTCTTCTGAAACCATCTCTTCTCCAAGCTGAACAAGCCTTAGCCTGTCCTCATAGGGCAAGTGCTCCAGCCCTTGATCATCTTCTAGTCCTCTGTTGAACTCTTTGTAGGTTCATTATATATCAGAACATTAATAAACAAGTATTTTAGACTTTATTATCTTATTTACATTGTTGATCTTCACAGAGTTATTTCTATTTCTCATATGTGAAAGGCTGAATCCCACACTACACCGGTCACTGATTCCCAGTTGAAAGAATAGCCCTGAGAGTTACATTCAAAGTGGTTTAAGATTAACAGATTTTAAGACCAGAAAAAAACACATTAGCACAGTCCAATCTCTGGTACAGCACAATTTACCCAAAGTGAAAACATTTTTCCTGGTTAAATCCAGAGGATCTAAGTGAATGTATAGGCGTATCACAAGCATTGTTTCTTTATTTTCTGGGATTCAATGAAGCTGTGAGACTCCTGCAGCTGGATATATAATTTTGTAAATTGAGGTATTAGCTAGCCGTTTCCAGCTTTGATGTATTGACTGATTCTAACAATTTTTGAGCTCATACTGGTGCATAGTTTCAAGAATTAATGTGTGTACTGAAAGCATTGAATCTTTTCCCTGTCTACAGTAGCTTTGAAACACTTTCTCAATGGTTTTGGTTTCATGACATGTTCTGATGGGGACAAAAATATGATCTATTTCCCTGATGAGAAGCAACCGTATTTCAACCAATGGGTGAAAGTATGAGGCTGTGGACAGTCAGTCATAAGAGAAAGCAGCCTCTGTGACTTAAGTAGCTGGTAGTCTCTGGCAGGGAAGATGAATGGGTGGTGTGTGGTGGTAACAATTGTAAACTGCTACAGATTGCTTTTGTAGCTTGTCTGACCATAATTTATAAAATAAGAATAGCAAAGTTTTCTTGCCTGGATTGCAGTTTTTCATCCTCTCTGGGGATCACTTCTCTATTTCATAAGGGTATTGTAAAGTTAGTTACAGTATTTATAAACACAGGTAAGACACAAATCCACAGAAGGATGCAGGTATGTGAAAAGCAAATTGGGAAAAGTGGAGGTTCTAAAAACCTTCTTGTTGCTTCTAATATCTGTAAGTATTTGTGGAGTTTTATATTCAAGTCTCACAGCACCAAAAATTTCACTTCTGGACATTTCCCAAAAATGCTTGAGTCTTGGCAGAGACAATGATGTTAGGTGTCCACACATCAAGTTCTCGCCCATCTTATCTTTCCTGGAGGCATTTCACCATGAGCTACAAATTACTCTGTGGTGGGTTTCTCTCATACTTGCTTGCTGATGGTATTTTGGTTCAAGCAGACAGCTTAGTTGTTTTTGGGTTTTTTTTTTTTAGATTTTTACTATCTGCAAAGAAATGGTAGTCCTTTACTTGTCATTAGAAGTTCTTGCTCCAACAATTGTTAATGCATTTGACATTGAAGCATCCTCATGTAAAATGCATAAGCTGTTGGACTAGAAGAGATGTCTCCCAGAAGAGAGCCAGAGCCAGAAGTGGTATCTCATCTGGAGGCTGTCCCACAGAATAACCATTTCTTCTTTTTTTCTGAGATAACAACTTATTCATATAATTCTAAAGTAAAGATTTAACTTAGCTCCATCTGGTTTAATGTTTCTCCACTTTGTTTCTAATTTTAATGACTAAGTCTAGTACCTACCTATCAAAATTCTGGCTGCCATCAGAACGTCTCTGAAAAACAGTCCAACCACCCCCTTCAGACATGTCACAGAAGGCAAGGAATTCAGTAGGACTCTGGATAGGTTTCATCTTATAAAACCCACTTTGCTTATGGCCATCATTGTAGATTTCTGCACAATCTGTTCACAAAACATTCATTGGACAGTTTTTTTAGTCCTGTACTTACTGGCAAAATCAGAAATCAAGCCAATAACAGAAATCAAGTCAAGTCATACAAGAGTCACATATGAACCATGCTAATACAAAGGAAATACCTCTGCAAACACATTTTTATGACCTTTGCACATTTACTTGTATTTGTGTTGCTTTAAAATTTTATTGAGCTGTAATTACTTTGACATTTCTTTAAATGAATCTTTTTTCCACCATAAAATACTATAATTTTTGTTTTCATTTGACTAGCAAAATAATTCCTCTGGTTTAAATGGTGTCACTTTTCATTTACAATGGTATAATCCACATTAGAATCCTGTTACAATTGTATAACTTCTCTACATATAAAACAAACAGTAACTTTTAAAAACAAACATATACTTCTATGTCCAGAAAGTCCACAGGAGAACTGCCAAAACCAAGAGTATGGAATCACCGGTGTTAGAAAAGGGAAACAATTGCTGGACCTGATACTGTTGTCCCTTGTACCAAAAAGGAGCAAAAATACATAGAAGACTACCCCCAAAAAGTGCAATGTATGTGTAAAATGATACCACTTCATCTTGATAACATCTACAGTCTTGTCTCCATTGGTGTTAATGACTAATCAGAATTTACAGCAATGACAAAATTCAGAGCTCATGAAAATGTAACAGCAATGTAATTGTATAATCTTATCTTTTTTCCTCTAGGAGTTAAGAAATTAAAGGAGTTCTTTGTTTATATGTAATCTACCATCAAGCAGTCATACAGGAAAGACGTATAACTTTCAACATTTCTGTTTTTCCTGGCAAAGGTAGGGCTGATTAACTGTAAGATTGTCCCTGAAACATTTATGAATATGTTGGCTGAACTTCCAGGACAGTTTGGAACTTTCTGAACTATTGTATGTCTTCTCAGTGAAAGTGTCAGTGAAGATTAGACATAGAAAATAAACACTTTATACTGAAAACAAATAGCTATGCCAGGATTTGAATAAACGCTAATAGAAAACATGATTTAAATAACAGCTAAGTTGTCTTTCTGGAGAATGTTTGATTGGCTTATAGAAAATAGCTTTTCTTGTCCATTATTTTCTTAGTAGGTAACAAAACACTTAAGCATATTTTAATTTTTAGCAGGTGTATATAGTGTGGATTTTTTACCCTCACTATCTAACCCCAAATTATCCAGCTCTGTTTACATTAAAATGCTACAGCAGTTTGAATGAAATAATGAAGTATCAACAGGGAAAAGCATTTTCCAAGCAATAAGGAAAGTGAAAAATTAATGGGAAAAAAAATATTCACAAACTGGAACAACTTAGATCTGTTATTTAGAACCACATTTTAAGAAAATAAACTGAGGCACATGCTAAGAAATGACAAATAGCTTTCAGCTAAAAGTGGGTTTAATAATCTTTTCCAGTAACAAATGAGTCAGCCATAATAATAACAAGAAAGTATTCCATGATGCTGAATACATAAATAAATATACAGCTAAAATTTAAAGTCAAACTTACAACTGCTTTTAATTTCATTTTAATGGTGCTTTATTATATTTGAGGCCTTGTTATATGTTGTTATTTTTTCCAGCAGCATAAACACTACAAGTATGTTCAAACTAGGCTATTAAAAATTATATATGTTTAGACTCTGTAGCACTGGACAACTAGAAAATAACACCATCCAAGAATCAGGCCCCCAAATTGTATTTTCAATTCAACTATTGGTTTGGATGGTGTTTTATTATTTTAAGAGTTTGGGCCTCATTCCAGCTACTACGGGCTAACACACTTCGCCTTCTTCCACTGCAGAGGGACCGGATCACCATCAGAATGCCGGTGAGATTACAAAAATTACTTAAACCCAGTATTTTAGAAGCTGTGATGTCCTGAGCTGAACCTAACTCAGTCAAAATGGTACAACGTACAAAATATTATTAAAGTGAGATGCAGATGTCATTATGCCAGGCTTATGTGCGTAAATATGGATGGCACAGGGACTTTACAGATTAGAACAGAGTTGGTGTGTGCTTGTAACCCATGCAACTTTGCAAATGTGTGAATGTGAACTGACCCTGTGGGTTAGAACTTTTTGAGATTAGTCAAAGGTTCTTTAGAAATCTCTAACTGTTTATTAACATTTTGTAAATGTCTATTACTGGCTTTTATCTGTTTTATGGCTGATATTTATTCTGAATTTATTGTTCACTGATAGTTTTTTACTTATGTGCTATTAATAAATCAATAAACCGCTTCAATCCTAATTTGATTTATACCGTGTGACATTAACCATTTTTCCCTGCAGCAGTAGGCCTAGGTAAAAGCTGAACACTGTGTTTTAAACAAACAATTTTCTGTGAGCTTTTACAACAATAAGTCAATGGGCCCAATTGTGCTAAAGCTTCTGGTTATCATTACAATGAATGGAAATGAAAAGAATAGCTTCATTTCTAACCTGAATACTGTCTTTTTCCTCCCAAGTCAATGACACTGTTTTCATCTCCTCTGTCACTGTACTGAATCTCTTTCTTCTCTAAAAGCTGTATAATTTTTAACTGCTGCTGTTTCACACGATATTCCAGAAGCCTCACCTGGCCCTGAAGTCGTATTTGCTCTTGAAAACAGTTCTGTAGATCCTAGAAAGGAAAACATATCTTATTATAAAATAATTTTTTGTTACATTTAACATGTGACACAAAAACCCAACCAACCAAACCATAAATAAAATTCAACTTGAATAAAACATTTTTGCCACAATTTCCTATGGACACTATGTTGAATTCCACCTCAATTGCTACCTCTGTTGAAAATTCATATATTACAAAGTGTCCAAACATATACATGCTTTGCAAAGAGACCTTCTCTGTAGTGGCTGTAACCACCAGGTCTCACTGCAAAGATGCAGAGGGGATTTTAGGGAAAAACACTACAGTACAGACCCTATCATAAAGATTGCTTATTCTCTATCACCTGTCATGTACAGTGATTTACTATCTAGTGACACCTGCTACTAACATTGGGAAGGTTCTAAATTTCCAAAGTTTTAAAGAAATACAGTCTACACTGATAAGTTTTCAACTTCATTGTGCACTTTTCAAATGCTTTTAGATTACACACTTCTTATGATAAGAATCTTAACATTGCCAACATAAATATTGTAAAGTTTCAAGCTCATTTTTGGCATGCTAAAGTAAATAGTCCTTAAGAAGCTGTAAATATGCATGAAAAATAAAAGTTAAAAACTTAAAGTCAATATTGTGCTGTGACTAGTACACTCAATTTTGCCATGCAGAGTGGATGAGAAATGTGGCAATTCTGATATGGTGATACCTAGAACTCATTTAAACCTGGTGCAAATATGGATACACGACAAGAGAGCTGGAATAACTGTTCCAAATTCAAACATGCTGAATGTACACAGAGCAATAAATAATTGGTTTTAGATTAATGACTATGGTAAAATAGTCAAAGTGAACACAATCCAATCTAGGGAGCTTAGATGATTAAAATATTCTGTACAGTTTCAAATAGATATTAAACAGATTTGATTTCAACATGGGGAAAAAAGCCTTTGGGATTTTATGATACATTTTACAAATGTGACATGAGGTTTTGCATCAGTAACATTGTGTCAGCAATTTTATATGAGCAAAGAGACTTCAGCAGTTACGGTGCTTGCACGGAGCACAACTAGCACTGTAAAAGCAAAATCAGAAGGCAACTTTTTGGAAATCCGATATGCAAGATCAAATATGCAGTAGTTCTAAATTGGTGCAACCTTATTCATAGGGCAACATTATTTACATGAGCTAAGGATGTAGAACTGTAACATTTGCCATCCATATGGGAAAGCTGATCTCTTAGAATGTTGCCCTATCACACTGAACTATAGAGAGATCTGAAATAGCATAGTGATGTGTACCTCCAGTGGCATCCACATACTTGTATCAGGCTCAGGCTTCACCTATTTTCTGTACACTCCCACCAAAAAGTTTCTTGTCACTTTCTTGCTGCAGTGATTTTTTTTTCTTTTATCTGAAAAGCTGATGCCATTCTGTAAGTTACTATGCAGCAGAAACAGTTCTGACTTCCTTGTGGTACCATTCACCAGAAGTCCAAGAATAAACTCTGTGACTGAAACTAACAGTATTAATTAGAATCTGCATTTCATAACTCTACTACATGCAGATTTTTTTCATAATTAATTTGTGGTACTAGTTAAAAAGCAGAGGAACTTCTGGTACTGTCAAGGAACATCCATATAAACAGTGACATGACTATGACCAGTTATTTCTGATAGAAATAAGTGTTTCAGGCCCCTTCGCTTTTTCACTAGAGAGGATGCAATTCATTTTCAACAAATAAGCAAATGAACTAGAGACAATTCAAGAGTATTTGAAGATAAAAGAATCATTGTCGATGAGTTCAGTAAAATGGTTCCTAGCCATCATGTTCCATTGGCCTGCAATATTTAGTCTCACTGAAAAATCTGATGATCAGACTTTGCAGAACAATCCTGAATATAGGCCTCTAGTTCAAGTATTTCTGAAGTGTATCAGATGCTTGCTTTAATTCATGCTTAACTGCAATCTATTACGCATGGTGGAATAAAAGAATGGGCAATACACATGTGGCAGGACTAGGCAGTTTGTCAGTGACCTGTTCGAGAGGAAGAGGTTGACCTGCCTCTCTGAGTTTGGGCTGCCCATGTGAGGCTGCTTTGACAGCAGGTGTGTCTGCAGACTCCAACTGTCTGCTTGCTACCAGGTCCTCAGAGGCCATTAAGATGCTTGGCCACAAGGAGGAGCTGTAAAGTCAGAGGCATGTTTACCAAACGCTAACATTTTTAGAAGAATAAACAAAGCAGTCAATGACCTAATATCCCTAGAGTCCTATCTTATTTAAGAATACTCCCTTGAAAATCTTCTTCAGTTGTTGATAGCTATACGAGATCCCTAGTAAGGCCTCCTTTTCTTCCAGCAGGAAACGAGAAAAGAAAATACTTAAAATACATGCACTTACAGAGACAAACTTGCTACAGCGGCTTAGAGGGATGTTATTTGACTATAAGCACTGGTTAATTAATGTGTGACATGTTGCATATTACTACTATGCAGTCTTTCCAGGGCGGTTGTCTCAACTTGTATCTGCAGCCTCATATAAACCCTTCACAAAAGCTGAGTTGAATTGGGAAATTCAGAAGAGGATTCCTTGACAGGTCTCTGCAAAGTCTCAGACTAGTCCTGAGTACATACAGAAAATTATGGTGAACTGGTAAGCTGCATAGGTGGGTTGAGAAAGAGTGAATAAATAATAATAAAAAAATTTCCAGGCTCACCCTGATGAGCAAATGCTAACTATGGAAGTAAAGCTGTCAAAAAAACCACGTTAACAGTCAGACCAAATAGTAATCCTAATCATATTAAGTTAAGAGTGATAAAGGAGCCACCATGCCTCACTTACCAGTTTTACTACAGCTTTTGTTTATTCAGAAAGTTAGCCTTTGTCAGTCTTAACTTGGTACTTGCAACCTTTGAGAACATGGTAAAATACAATAGGAAAGACCTGGGTGATCCTGGAAATGGTGGCCCCTCTCACCAGGCCCTTGCAATTTCATAGGCAAGACTTCAGGTGAGTAGTCTCTTTAACACATGGCAAGGTCTAAGCCACGAACAACTGCTTTCAGTTCTGGTGAGAGCATGAGTCTATGTGTGGGAGGAGAGGTAGCTACAGGCAGCTAAGTGTGTTTCTTTCAAATGTAGTGAAAATGTGTCTATCAATTCACCTATTCATACTGTTAAAAGCCATTCTGCTATGGTGATTAAATTATATAGTAAAAGTACAGAACTTCTTAAAAAATATTATTGGACCTTAGAAAGACTTGGTATCTAAATTCAGTATGACACTACTTCAGATACCACCATAAAAGGTCCTTTCCTCTGAATCAAATTAAACACAAGTCTGCAACAGGCTATGTCTCTAAATATTGTTCTTAACTTTGCATTTTAAATTAATCTTCTCTTTTTGTTTACTTAAAAATTGTGAATTAATTCATAAAAATTAAAAACACTGAGCCGATTCTCATCTGCTTTACAGACAATACACTCATTATGGGGTAAAGAGTAATATATCTACATTACACATAGCAATTTCCTGATGAAAAGGATTTAAGCTCACAGTGCTGGTAAATAGTAAGTGACAATCAAGAAATCACCAGCCGTACTAAATAGCTACACAATAAGAAATGACTGAGCAGAAATAGAGTTTTGAAAGTAACATACATATGAAAAGTACTGGTATCTGATACTTTGCTTTCTCTCCCTGACTGCAGCCTCCTCATTGATGTCTCTTTCTGTCAACTCTGGACAAATCCTATTACACTTTGCTGCTCGACAGCAAAACCACAATTCTCATATGTGGAGTTTTTCCTATTTTCACCTATTTTTCCCACGGGACAATCACAAGTTAGCTGTGTAACTTCAGGGTGGATCAATGTGGCTTTTAGATCTGCAGGTTACCAGACTGTTCTTTTAATGTGCTACTACACTTTTTCACAGGATAACTTTTTTAAAATCATTGGAGTTAAATCAATGCATAGCCAGAGTAATATAGAGGCAAAATGTAACTCAGGATTATAAGAATCAGCAGCTATAACATGTTGCTATTCCTTTTGTTAGATATGGACCAAAGTTAAACTATTACAATGCTGAAATAATAAAAAACCCGTGAATTTGATTGTCACTGTCTCCAGTGGACAGTAGTGCCCACTGATTGAAACCAGACTGAACATAATCTGCTCTGTTTCAGTGAAGCAACTGTTTGCACTACACATTGAGAAGCAATTATCTAACAAGTGCTGACAGCTCTGCTCTTGGACATGCAGTCCCATACTTAACCAGCTGCTCCAATTAATGTGCATTCACAATCTCTATTTCATTATTGTGTGAATTACTTAGCAGGTAGTGACCTTCCATTAAAATTGATGCTATAAATTAGACTCTGAATATTTTATGAAAACTATAAAAATACAAAATTTTTACTTGAGGTGTTATTTCTTGTATTTTTAGAATTTAAATGAGCTCCAAAAAAATCTCTTTTGAGATTAGTGCTTTGCTTTAATGAGATTAAAATGTGAAAACTTAGAGATAAATTTCAGAATATTCCCAGTTTTTAGTCACAGGGTCAGCTAAAGCCCATAATACTCCAAATGAAAAATCAAAAGAAAGCAAATGCATTTCATTGTAATGCCTTTTTCTCAGTAGGCTTCTATAGAAATCAGTAATATTTTTCTCCACTGAGCAGAAGTGATTACAGAGGCAGGTGCTTCCTATTCTGCCCTTACAGAGCTACTTATCTGAACAAAAGGCTTCCCATAAGGTAATGTAAGCCACAAACAGTGATGCTCACCTAGTTGTAAATTCAGCAACCACTTCCACCTAGGCAATTATGAATCAACAATTCAATCATCTCCCAGGTCTCTCCTATTTAGGACCTGAATATCAAACTAGGAAGGACAGCCAAGATAGACAGTACAGGACTGATGAGGTTAGAAGTATTTTAAGCAGTGGAGTAACTATGATTGTGTTAGGGGTTTTGTTGGAGAGGCAGAATACATAGCAGAAGGTTTTGGGAGCTAAAAGTAAAGGAGCTTTGATCTTTGTTTCTGAGTGTGAATTATAGTAACATCAGAACGAGTAAGAATATGAAGCTGTGGATCTTATTTGAGATGAAGTTATACGGCAAGTGGACACGGTAGAAAAGAATAGAAACATTCTTCATCCTGAGTGTCAATGATGAGAAATACTACTGCGGCAGCCACTGCTTTAGGAGTTCCTGGGGTTTGCCTTTCTGTAAGTATGCTGCTCAAAACTAAAGGTGTTATTCTGAGTTAGCATTACCCCTGAACGGTAGTATAATTTTCTTGTGTGCCTTCTGTACAACATGCCTGTTAATGCATCGTATGATACCTTTTTAATATTCTTTTACCTTCTGTTTCATGTTGGATGCAGTAACAAACTGACTGGATTACTTTCTTTAGTGCTATGGCCCAGTCATTTATCTTCCCTTGTATATTTATGCATTTGTTTCCTCTTTCCTTATCAGAAATTTGTCCCCACTGAACATTATTTGAGGTTATTTCCCCAGTGTTTCAGTTTTGTTCTGAATTCTAATCTTTTCCATCAAAGGTTCTGCCATCCCATGTAGCTGAGATACATTGTAAACACTACGGAGGATAAGGTATGAACTATTCTGAAAAAAACTCTATAGGCAAATTTAATTACTAGAACTTACAGAGCTGCCAATGACATCCATCAAGCTAGCTGCAAGGACAAAATCAATCATTATCAAAATCTTCATTCTTTGGAAGCTGTGAAGTAGAGGAACAAATGAAATAACTAGTTAACTTAAACATTAAATATTTACACCTGACATGTTAAATTTTATTCAAAATAATCTATTTAAGCTATAAATATTTTCATACATATTGTAAATATAATGTATATTTAGGCTTCATTACAAATGTCTAAAATAATCTGATCAAGTACAACTCCAAAACCCAGTAAAACCAGAATTTATCCTTTTAGGCCACTTTGTATCAGAGCTCTCCATGTATTTTAGGTCAGCTATTCAAGATTCAAACCCACACATTTTATTGTGAAACATGACAAAAGCAAAATAGCATTTTAAAATGATCTGAAAAGCAGGGCAATATTCCTTGTTGGCCCTTTAAAGTTGGGAGAAAGCTCTCTGTTACATTCAAGTAATTAAAACCTGAATTGGGCTAGTTGTCCTTGAACTAAAGAAGATTTGTGCAACTTTTGTGTGCCAGGAGAGAGTGGAGATAATTTTACTGTTATAGAGTAATTTTGGGGAAAAATGCATAATAGTTATCAGCTTTTATTGTAACAGTGACAAGGATAACATCTTTCAATGGATAGCTATGCATATTTTGTACTGTATGACCCACAGGATTTTAAATCCTATTATTTCATATGAAAATTATTTTATATGCCAAAACAATCATCATTGTATCTTGCTGCCTTGCAAACATTAGCCAATATAACTTCACAATTTTCTGTAAGGTAGCTGTGTGCTTTTCGGCTCACAGATGAGAAATGAAGGCCTCCAATTACTAAAATATTTACATAGATTATACATGAAGCAATTCTAAATTGATTAGGTAAACTGCTGCAAGCTATCAACTGAGGAATGTTTCTTTTTTTTTTAAACTTAAAATATTTTCATTTAGCATATGCTAACGCTGTTTAATCGAAAATGTGTCCACTCTGCTTTTTCTACTTATTAAACTAAATCAGCTAACTACATGTTAAAACATTTGTAGTTAGACAAAGCGTGAGACCTATAATAGAGATTAATGATTCAATGTCAGCACGTGCTTATTGAAACACCAACTTTATGGATTGTTCCCCTGTACTCGGCACTGGTGAGGCTGCACCTCGAGTACTGTGTTCAGTTTTGGGCCCCTCACTACAGGAAAGACATTGAGGTGCTGGAGCGTGTCCAGAGAAGGGCAACCAAGCTGGTGAGGGGCCTGGAGCAGAAGTCCTATGAGGAGCAGCTGAGGGAACTGGGGCTGTTTAGTCTGGAGAAGAGGAGGCCGAGGGGAGACCTTGTCGCTCTCTACAACTACCTGAAAGGAGGTGGTAGCAAGGTGGGTGTCAGTCTCTTCTGTTGGGTGGCTAGAGATAGGACAAAAGAAAATGGCCTCAAGTTGCGGCAAGGGAGATTTAGGTTAGATATTAGGAAAAAATTTTTTACTGAGAGGGTTGTCAGGCATTGGAATGGGCTGCCCAGGGAAGTGGTTGAGTCACCATGCCTGGAGGTATTCAAAAAGCGAGTGGACAGGGTACTTCAGGACATGGTTTAGTGGGCATGGTTGATGGTTGGACTCGATGATCTTGAAGGTCTTTTCCAACATAAATGATTCTATGATTCTATGAAATTTCCACTCATGTTTCTACAGGAATTAATATAGAACACCAGTGGAACTTTGGCAGACTCTGCTTTTTACTGTACCAAGATAAGCAAGGTGCTTATGTGAAGTATGTTTTTAAGTTCTTGTAAAATTGGACGAGTCTATCTTTATTTTCGCCAACCTCTGAAAACCTCATGCAAGACTACAAATTACAGCCCAGCCAAATTTCAGGTTTTCAACACCTACCTATAAAATACTTAGGATGCTTTTTAAAATTACAGTTATCTTATTTAAGTAAGCAACTTTTTTTATTTTTAGTTCTGAATTTTGCTGGTTTGAAAGCATCATATTTGAAAGCATAGAGTTGTAAGGCCTGAGTATATCTGTATAAAGCTCATTATACCACTTCCACTGGACTGACGCAGACACAAGGTGTTGAGGGTACTCTGTACCCACTGACTCGTATTACAGACAGCTCAGAAAGATTTGGGTTTTTTTTAAACATCTTGGACACATGCAACTTCAACCATTAAGCTGCAAAGCACTATATTAAGCTAGTGTCTATCTCTAGGGATTCCAAAGGAATCCATTAAAAATTACCTATAAAATGTTTCTTGAGTAAAGTGTGAACTGAAGATCTCAGGCTAAGTTATTTCTATGCCATAAAATTTCTGAATTTTAAGTTGTAAGTTGTTATTAATTCTTACCAAATAAATGTTATATCATTTGAATTAGAAACTTTATCATTCAATGCAACAAGTTCTGCTACTGTTTGAAGTGGTCAATCCTATGAATTTTGGGCTTAAAAAAGGAGGGGGGAATCTGCAAGAATTGCCAGCATTGAATTCTGTTATTAATTTAGATTTTGGAGGTTTCTGCCATGATAAAACATGTACTTTCACCTTACAACAGTAGTAATTATGGCTATTGCAGCCACCACTGTTTTGAAAGCAGCTGTTGCCATCTGTTGCAATGACACTGTCTGTGAGAGGAGTGACCAAAGAGTACGTTAACTATCTGGCCAACCTACAAATGGTCTCTCTCTGATAACTGCTGTCCCAACTCCATGCATATCTTAAATATGTTTTCCAAGAGAGAAGGGACTATATTTTTTTCACCAGAAGATTCATATTTAACTGTTCTGCTTCATTCTCTGTTATTTTCATTATAAAAGCACACTGTTCTCCCTCACATTAGTCTTAATATTCTATTAATATAACTGTTCTATCATGATTTCAGTGACTGTGAATGCCTGAGTACCACAATTAATCTTAAAAGGGTTGCACAGCTTTACAACTACGGTATTCTTATTTTTAAAAAAAAAACTATCAAGTAAACATTGCATACCGTTTAGAGAAATTTATGTTAGTAAAAAAAAAATTAAAAAATTAGACGACCATCAGGCACAATCAAGGCAGATCATGTCCCTTACAGCATGTGTGAGCTACTATGAGCAAGTTGCACAAAAGGAACAAAGAGCTGTGGAGCATAGAGTGTGTGCAGTTGGTTTGTCATCTTCAGATGAAGTTACCTTTCTATTTAAAGGGCGCCTCTTTCTAAAGCATGTTCCTGTTGTGGGGAACTTCGTAAGGGCTGCACTTGGAAGACAACTTTGCATGTATCAGCTTTAGCACTGAACTAAGATATGCTCAAAAGCCATACTGAAATATAGGAATAGTCTCATAAATAAAATTCTAAATGTGATGATTTAAATACATTGCTCAAGATATTTTAATCCAGGAGTTTAATTTTTAAGAAAGGAAGTTGGACAGTAAACCCAAGATGGATTATTCATCCTGTAGTCACTCGCAATATGAGCTCACTGTGGTCGTAAGAGAATTAAAAGGCGTATAAAGAGCTCCATTTACCAGACCTGTCAGTCAGAAACAGGGAAGACATTGAAACAGAGAGGACACAGGAAAAAGAAGAGTGGACCTGAAGTAGGAACGAGGGGTAGGGGGACAAAAATCTTTGTGCTGTTGCCCTCCCCCAAAATGAGAAAGGTCAAGAAGACTAGGAAGAGACATGAAAACGCAAGCTCTGAAAGGAAATGGCTGACCTAATGGTGTTTCTCTGCTTCTGTTACTGCCCAGCAGGGAGACCCAGACAAGGTAGAAGACAAGGAACAGTGCTGATCCTGGAAGGGGCAGTACCTTGTAGCTTTGAGCCAGTTTCTCAGCAGGTATAAACTCCTGTAGTTTATCTGATTCCACAGTTGCAGTCACATGAGATTCACTGAGTGGTCAACTCTACAGTGATAAGAAAAGTCGTAAATAGGGTCAAGGTCTATATATGTTCAAAGCGCTTTGCATACACTAACTGAATCAACAGGTTCAGTCTTGGAATAATTGTTTACTTAGTTTTCCACATTTCTACAAAAAGTTTCAGAAAAGGTTGTATTAGTAACAGTTCTCTGAAAATGTACATCCATGCTCTTTGGTAATATGTAAAGCTAAAGTTTTGTTCAAGGGAAGCTTAAAATCTTGCTCTAGAAAGACTGCTTTGAAAGGCAGTTTCTTAAACTAATTTCTCCACTCATTTAAATATTTACCCTGGTTGTTACATAACTATTTAAAATGCATTCTCCAGAAATGTACGTGGAGGGTAAAATAATTTAAAATTTAGAGAGAAAATACAACCACTGATAAACATTCACACACAATGCAATAAAAACATTCACTCAAAAAAAAAAAGCAAAAAAAATTACAGATCTTAATCCATGTCTCAGATGAAAACAATTGCATAACTTAGCAAATATTTTTGTGTTGTTGATGCTAGTGAATCCAAAGAGTTAGTAAGTGCTGAGAGACTTTCAAGACTTTTGTGATAACACCTGTGTCGGTTTAACAAAAACAAAAACCCAAATTTGTGCAGGGGAGGTCCCTTTCCAGGAAAATCTTAAGATCAGACAGTAGATATGTGGATTAATTACCACACATCATGATAGAGTGAGAGAAACTTAGTGTAGTATTATAAAGTTAAAAGCACAAGCCCTTAACAGTTAGCTGAAAAAAAAAAAAGAATCACTGTTTTAATAAAATTGAAGTTTAAGGGCAACTTTTGTGAAACCTTGAAATTTTATCCATATGAGATTACTCATTTACTATTGAAAGATTACACCTGGAATGTGCACTCGCACAGCTGTGCAGAAAGATTTCTCCAAAGCTACGGAATAAAAATTCTAGAAAGGTACTTTTTTCCTTCTCTGTGCCTGGGCTTTCTTCACAGGCTACTCAGACAACCAATCCTATGTTCAAATTTCCCCTAAATTTGATGTTTTTCCAAGTCTTTCTATAACAAGTTACTAAATAGATTTAATGACATTGGAGAAACTCTGTGCTATGAAAACTTTGAACTGTCAGCCTGTTTTCTTGTTCTTGAATTCTGGAGACAGCAAACTAGATAGAATTCAGAAGCCTATTTCTGTTTGTACAGTGTCAATAAGAATTGCATTGCTAATAATTACAATAATAATAAGTGAGAGTCTGCCAAAAGGACAGACAAGGACTTGAAAGAATTTTGTTTGCTTTCTTAAAATTCAAACCGGTTTTAATGATTAAACTCATGCACAAGTTTTGCTTTGTTTTCAATAGGTAGTATTACAAAAATTGCCCCATTTTCCTCATCTGAAAAATGGACAATAATTCATGATTTGATCTACTTTTAGGCTTAAAAAGCAGCCTTGTTCATAGAGCCATACATTATTATAAATTTAGAAACTACAGATTTGAATATGAGGTTTATTAACTAGATATAATAGCAAAATAGCTAGATCCTGCTAAAACAGTCATACATCGTTAGCAACATTGCACCAGTTTTATGGCCTTCAAAAACATATTACTTTTAAACCATAACTATAGCAATTAGCCCAAATTCTTCCTTCTTCCCTCACAGGTAGCTAAAATGTTTACCTTTACCCTCTGGATAGAACTCAAAGTTGTTAAATCTTCTTAAGCTGATGCAAAGAATTCCAGAGCCCTTCCCAGGCTGCGATTGTTTTTGCTATTAAATTCTGTAGAGTTGAGGCTTACATCTGCTATGAGTCACTGGGCAGGAATGTTACTGAGAAGTTGCAGTTATCAAGACTAAATTACAACATAAGAAGAAGACAGTAATTCTCTGCCTAACACAACACTTCTGAAATAAAAATAGACCAAAAATAACAAAGGATCATCCATTCCCTTTCACTGCTCTGAACCAGGAGATTGCTCTCAGCATCATATTCAGATATATATACTCCAGTGCTTTCCTGAATCGCAGCCTAAATCTCTTAGGCTTCAGAGGTATAGAGAGAGCATAACCGATTCAACTGATTTAAAAATAAAACATAATCATTCAGAATAGAAGTTACATGTTAAGGTGATAAAATAAAAACAAATCTGCTAAAAAAACCTGAAAGTAACAAACATAGCACAGACAAAGCCAAAGGGAACAAGAAAAAATGAAAAAGAATCTTGTTTGATCTAAGTCAGTAATTTTTAATTGGAAGGCACTGAGAAACACATGATCTCAGTGACTTGGTTAGACAAAATCACTTTCTTTATAAGCTTTTTAGAGCCAGATGAATACATCAAATAATGTTTTAAAATGCAATTTAGCTTGGGTGTTTGCCCTCCTTCTATGGTGGCTCTTCTCAAAAAGTTCCACAAATGAGTATGCTTAAAGGAATGCTGCTGGAAAAAGTGAACTCTTAAGGACATACTGAACAAAAGCAGTAAAAGGAGTTTTACATTCCACAATACAAATATTCACACCATCAACTTCCTGTTGAAGACTAATACTTGTTGTACACTTCCTCTAAATAATTTCTAGTGTATTATTTGGAATCTGTTTACCTGGAAGTACTTCTCTTTACTAATTACATTACATCAACTAATTAACTTCATATTCTGAATTTCAAATATTTAATAATTGCAATAAATTTCTCATGAGTAGCCTACACTAAGACTCATTTAAAATTTAAAAATCATTCAGCAAGTCATTTTTACTTGGAATCTTTATATGGCTAATGACTTTTGCAATGAGGGAAATACCTGTTCATAGTGTAACTCAACTGATTGTTACTCAGTGGGTGGGCTGTGAATTTAGAAAGTGGAAAAAAGGCATGGCATTTTAAATTCAGATTTATTAACCATTTAAACAATTTATTGAGGGTTACAAGTAGATTCTCCATCACTTGAAGTATTCAAACAAAAACTAGATGGCTAAAATGTATGGCTGTGGTTCAGTTAAATAAGAATTATATCCAGCATCAAGTCAGAGATTTGTATTATTCAAGAAGTCTATAGGCTACCCATCATCAGAATGATTTTGCATGAATAAACATACTAAATAGAAGAGTCTCAAAGAGTATACAAATGGAAGTCATAAAAGCACAAACAGAAGAGAGAAAGGTCTGTCTTAGACCTGTTGGATACTTCCAATACTGGAAACTGGCAAATGTCATAGACCTTAATGTGGCCAGTAAAGACCCAGCTGTTCAAACAAATCTTACTCAGATTTGCTGCTCTTGGGAGAGTTTGCACAGAAATGAAGCAAAATATGGCAAGGATCATCAACTATTCTTTTATCAGTTTTTTGACAAAAGTATGTATAAAGGATAAAATGCTGTTCCTCACTTCCACACTGAATCAACATGTTTATTACTTCCTATAAGCAAGGTAAAAACAGTCAGTTGTATTAAATCCATCTTACATCTTTTGTGGATGTTTAAAATAGCTAGCACAAGAAATCGGTCATCTTTGTTTCCATTGTATTAGCACTTTCAGCTGAATACCTCCCCAGGTATTTTGTCTGACAGAAGTTTAACAGCTTTGGGCAATCCCAAACATGGATACAGGCTGGGTGATGAGTGGATTGTGAGCAGCCCTGTGGAGAAGGACATGGATGAAAAACTGAGTATGAGCCAGCAAGATGCGCTCGCAGCCCAGAAGGTCAACTGTATCCTGGGCTGCATCAAAAGAAGTGTAACCAGCAGGTCAAGGGAGGTGATTCTCCCCCTCTACTTGGCTCTTGTGAGACCCCACCTGGAGTACTGCATCCAGCTCTGGGGCCCCCAGCACAGGAGAGACATGGACCTGTTGGGGGGGGGCAGAGTAGGGCCACGAAGATGATCAGGGGGCTGGAGCACCTCTCCTATGAGGACAGGCTGAGAGAGTTGGGGTTGTTTAGCCTAGAGAAGAGCAGGCTCTGGGGAGACCTTATAGCGGCCTTCCAGTACTTAAAGGGGGTCAACAGGAAAGATGAGGAGGGACTCTTTATCAGGGAGTGTAGTGATAGGACAAGGGGTAATGGTTTTAAGCTGAAAGAAGGTAGATTTAGATTAGATATTAGGAAAAACTTCTTTACTGTGAGGGTGGTGAGGCACTGGAACAGGTTGCCCAGAGAAGTTGTGGATGCCCCATCCCTGGAAGGGTTCCAGGCCAGGTTGGATGGGGCTTTGAGCAACCCGGTCTAGTGGAAGGTGTCCCTGCCCGTGGCAGGGGGGTTGGAACTAGATGATCTTTAAGGTCACTTCCAATCCAAACAATTCTATGATTCAAGAATTGGCAAACACAAGGTAATGTGTTCATAATATCATCCTTTTATCATGCAGACTCAAAAGAAGTTGCAAGCACAGAAGAAGCTTTCATAGTACAAGGAACCACTTTTTTTTTCCTTATAAGCTGTAACGGAGGTGTTAAGCACCCTTTATGAAATGTAATGCTTTTCTTTTTCTCATGTGTATGATTTTTATCCAGGAAAGTTTTAAATCACCTTCAGCTGCCACGTAGGAATATGGAAGGGTCAAAGATTGTACAACAACATCATAACTCGGTGTTTGTCAAAATGTACTTTCATTCCATCTGTTACGAATTAATTTGTTTATGCTTTTCTCTGCATTGTTTTAGTTCACGTAATGCTAAGGCTAAAATAGAAAACATGTAATGGACTTAATTCTAGAATTGGCTGAAATCACTTATTTGAAAATGTACATTCAGCATTGTACATCCAACAAGATGATAATTAAATGGTCTTTCACATATGATAAACAGTAACAATAATAAATTGAAAATATTTTTAAATGGAATATGCTGCTTGGTTTCATAACTTAGACACTAGGCTTTTTTCTGAGGGGAAAAAAACCCAAACAAAACACCCCCTCCCCCAAAAAAACCCTCAACCTGACTAACTCCATCAAAATTATGATGTCTGAGTAAATTTAACTTTGGGTTTTTTTAAATTTTTTTAACATATAAAGTAGTAGCAATGTGTTACTTCATAATAATATTTTGTTATTGAAACAGAACTGAACTGAAATCAAAGATAAGTCAAACTCAGCTTTATGACTAAAAATCTCTGTACGTCCATGTTTTTAAAGGTAGCCTCCTTTCTGAAAGTAAGTGTATATTTTTTTTATAGACTGACTTATGAATTGCATGGTATCTTTACAAGAAAATCTGGTTAGTTATCATAATAGGCAATGTGCCAGTTACCAGAATACTATTATATCTTCCCATTGTAAGTGTGTTCCACAAATAAAAGCATTGCGTAAGAGTTTCACACACATAATGCTGTGGGTGTTTGCATAGCTGACTGACATGTTAAATGGCTTCCAACATTCCACGGCAGGCTACTGATGAAAGCGAGTACAATTCTATCTGCTTGAGTGGAGTTACTTTCAGAGTGTTCAATAGTTCATTTTAACTATATTTACATAAGAGGTGGCCCACATATTCAAGAGAATAAAATGATCAAAAAGCTACACTGGATTTAGTCAACAGTTTGGACTGCTGTAAAAATGTATATCCACCAAGCTTTTCAAAGTTAAATATAGTTATTAGCTGTTAATATTTTATGTTTATTTGGAGACACATTAAAAAAAAAGAGTATGTCATACTTCTGCATTAATAGATTCTCAAGGTTTCTTTTTACTAAAGCAATTTGGCATTTCCAGATTCCTTTGGAATAATCTATACCAGTTTAACATGAGTCCTACTTAGTCATATGACAGCAACTGTCTTTCATGGACTCTTTCATTTATATACAAAAAGAAGCTTGCTCCGAAGTATTGAAATAGCTACAAAACAAGATCAAATTAAAATTACATGCCCTTGGCAGTACATATCCCTAAAGTTCATGAGATGTTGATGATGAAAGTCCTTGATGTAATTCTGGTTATTCACAAGGAAGCATATGAAGAAGTCCTGTTGTACTGAACACAACAGAAATCAACAAAAGGAAGCTGCATCCTTGTTCACTGTTCCAATTCTCCACTTACTTAGTACCACCTTTTTCTCAGGGTTACTGATTTTTTGTCTCTCTCTAGGACATTGTTGCCTTCTTCCTATATTTCTGTTTTCTGCTTCTTTCATTCCACTGACATGCATAGTTCCATGAGGTAATATTCAGTGTCACTGCAGTAGTCTTCAGGCATGCTACCTTAGTGTACCTGTTCCACCACAGACTTAAGTCTTCGAAGCAGACAGTGGCCTTTATTGTTGTACTTGCCTATTTCTTTAAGGAATATCATGCACTTGCTTATGTGTGACAGTTAGCCATCTCTCTCATACAATTTATTAATAATATTTTACTTTTTCAACATCAGATGAGTTAGAGTGCTACAAGCCAATACTTTGCTTACTTTTGGGCAAATAAGAAACATCAGAGTATTTTAAAGCTCTTGATTCTTTTAACATGCTGTCTTCAAAATTCTTGCCACAATCCTAACAAAAGCAGTGGTAGAAACAAATTATGGCAAAAATACAGAAGTCCACCTATAAACTTATGAAGATTTCACCTACTATATAAATACATTGCACAGAGTGACCAGAGCCTATGACTGCAAGCTGAAGCATATGAATAACATATCTCTAAAACTTGCATAATCACATGATGAATCTGAAATGTTAAGACAATAAATGTAATTCCCTGATAAGGCCAAGAGATAAGCAGAAAAGAACTTCCTGCTTATTCTGAAATGACAGAATGAATGCACTTTATTTTTTGGTGTAT